TTTTGTTTTCGAAAGCGGTAGTTGTAACAAGTTTTTAGTGGATATTTTAAGTATCACGGAATATGTACAAGTGTTTGAAATATTACTTAGGATACATAAAATTAACTAATTAATTAATTAATTAATTAATTTACATTATTCGTTTGGCAACAAAGCGACCATTGTTTTTTTTTAAGAAAAGTTCAATAATGAAAGCCAGTGTGTATGAGAGAAAAAATTGAACTCCATATACACATATTTGAAATTTTTTTAAGTTCACAGTGTGGTAAAATTAAGCCATGCATAGTCCATAAACTCTTTAGCTATAGGGTACAAATACAAAAACAACTGTTCACGCCAGTCTAATTCCTGAAGAAAAATGGCGAGGGTAGTTGTCCGTACTGATCTCGGGTCGTATAAACCCGTTTTACTCTATATGGAAACTTTTGATTTGTTTTGATTATTTGTCGTTGTTCTTTCTGTTTGTTTTCTTCTTTTTGGTATTTTTTTTTTCACAATTGTGAAATTATGAAATACAAAATTACAACTCTTATCATACATTTTGAACCCACATTGAAATAGTCTCTATAGACTCTACTTATTTGATCTGTATTATAATTGTTCAGTATTACTTATGAAAATGACAAATAAATCAAATGAAAATACAAGACAATCAGGCAAATGGATAATACTTCGATTGCAAAAAATTAATTGATATTGTTTTGAAGCATTTTCTGATTCAAATCAAACCCGTGCGTGACGTCTCAATTAAATTATGGCCAAATTTGCAACCTCAACGACCGCAGATATCAAATTTGATACTACTGTTGGTGTTACTTGCTAGGAAATTTTAAAAAAAATCATTCTAAAAATATATCAATATGTTTTTATACACTCTTTATTAGTGAAGCGGTTGATTTTGTAGAACATTTTTGCTTTACAATATCAACATGACTTGCTTTTGAACGCGGCTTATAGGTCCGCTTCGAAATACAAAAAATTGTTCTGAGTTTTCCTATTTAATAAAATTGAAATAATTTATTCAAGTCATGCTTTATGCTCATTTTAACATCCATACTAATTTTATTTATAAACCTATATATGTATATGTATAGATAGAAAATTCTAATATGACGTTCTTCAAACGTTTTGAGTAAACACTCGTGGTAAAATACGAATGTATTGTATCAGCTGACCAGTCTACTATTTATCTCTCAAACGTGTTTTTTATACTTCTGAACTATTTCTAATGGTACAATAATTATTTCTTTTTGTCTAGTATAGAATTATTACCATAATAACACTTTTATTCTTTTGTCTTATTTGTCATTCTTATTTATTTGTATTTCAATTATGAAATCGCCAATAAAATAATGAAAATACATACCTCATAAATTTACTTACTTCTTCTTAATGATCTGCTCCAAATACCTATTATTACTAAAACAATTAGATAGAAATGTGTAAGGAAAATTACCTTTGTATCGTTCAAAATATTTAAAGTTCTTTCATTATTTATTATCTCCCCTTAAAGCATGTTTGTACATGTACTCGACATGCGGGTTTTGGGAAGGGTTGTTAATAATCTGCACTTTATATTTGTGTCTCAATTTTTGTCTTTTAAAACATTGCCGACCCTGTTAGCCTTTCAGCAGTTTAATTTACAATAAATTATTGTTATTTATTGAGTAATTGATTTATTTTTGGATATTTATTTGAAAGTTTACGGGAAAACAATACAGAAAGGTTAGTATAATTTCAGGTTTAAAATAAAATTGCATCTGTTAAAAGGAATGTTTCAGGTATATTAATATTGCAATAATAAACATGTATTTTTATAAAATACCAAAACATTTTTTATTCACTAAGCAGTAAAAAAGCATTTAAATTTGTGAACGATCTTTGTCTTCTCGTTGTCAATTAGCGATGGCTTAATGCACGTCTGTAATACTTAAGGAACGATTTTTCCGGTTGTTAGGGAAAACGGGTGGCTAAAACTGAAAGACATATAGCATTTTTCGTGCAGGTTGTTCTCGTTGGTCTCGCATAGAAACTGTTACAAACATAAATATTTAGAGCGTTTTTCTACAAATGCATTTGGTACGCTCTTTTAAGAAATCAAGTAATCCCAACCTTAGAATATTTCAGTATCCTTAACGTCACAAACGATCAAACTAGGGGCGTATCCAGTTTTGTTTTACCGCGGTTTATTCTGCTACTCTCCTACTTCATTTGTATTCCATCTATCAAGAATTATTGATACCTTATATTATTAGTGTTGTCTCCTTTTGCATCTTCTCAGTTTGTACAACTTTTATAGACTGGAGGGAACATTCAATGTCCATGATATGGTTTTTGAATGGTCTTAGATAATCACAAACGAACGTTTTTCAAATCAAGAGAATATTTTATAAACTAAAATTAAGTAGAAAAAAGAATGACTTGGCTGTATTGAGAAATATCGATTTAAGATAAAATGAAAACAACACTTTAAATTGCATGCGTCCAAAGCGCTGTTCTGGATTTATCATTCATCAAGAATAACTTTAACGATGCCAATTTTATTACACCAGATGCGCATATTAATAATAAACGTCTCATCAGTGATGCTCGAAGCCAAAATATTTGAAAATCCAAAGCGTATTCAAAGCCGAAGATTTTAAAGCAAAAAATATATATAAACCGACACAGTTGAAGAACTATATGACCAAATGAACCCCAAAAATATCCAAATCAATCTAAGGTCAACGTTGCCGGAGGAATTTAAAAACTTACCTTCCTTATAATTTCTATAGAATTTTAGACAGGTTTGTTATAAATCATAACAGTACCAAAGTACTGACTACTATGCTGATGATACCATCGGGGACTGATAGTCCACCAGCAACAGTATCGACCAAGTGCTGTAAAATTTAAAACGAAACTTTATAATGTTCATGTGGGCAAAGCGCTTTTCTGGATTAAACTTCATCAAGAACGCTCAAACCCAAATATTCGAAAGCCAAGGATGTGTAAGAACAGTTGAAGAGCGTCATGACCAAAAGGACCTAAACAAAATAGCCGAATCAATCTTAGGTCAACTTTGCCTGAGGGAGTTGACACCTTATAAGAACAAGGAGATGTTCTATGATTGTCAATGAGACAACTATCCCTATAAGTTAAAATGAAGTGGATGTAAGTAATTTAAGACAACAATACGGTTTTCAACAATGAGAAAAACCCATACTGCATAGTCGGCTATAAAAGGCCCCGATATGAAAAATATGAAACAATTCAATTGAGAAAACAAACGGCCTAATTTATAACAAAACAATATATAAACAACAAATATGACAGACATGAACCAACGATAACCATTGACCTACAGGCTCCAGACTTGGAACAGGCACATAAAGAATGTGGCGGGGTTAAACATGTTTAAGAGCGCTCAACTCTCCCCTAACCTGGGACAGTGGTGTAACAACACAACATAAGAACAACCTATGAAAATCAGTAGAAAAAGGCTGAACTCATCAGATTGATACAAAGCAGAAAACATCAAACAAAAACACAGACAGGATATTTTCAAGTGTCCTTTATACCCACGCTCGTGTGTTTACATTTTTAGTGTATAACATAAATTGTACAATTTCAATAGGTTGATTCTGTAAAGTTAATCTATGTCGCTCAAGATCGGGAATTCCTCGTAGCTGACGTTACTTTTTGTTATGTATCGTGTCACTCTCCCTATATGATACATCGGATTTATCGTTCACATTCGGATCCATTCACACGTGGTGGTGTTTTTATATTATACAGTCCGCACATCAAAATGGACGTCCCTTTTTAGATGGGTTATATTTACTGAGAAGTCCATGGGTTGCCTTTATTTAGTGCTAGTACCATTAAGTTGGAACTTGTTTTTTTTTATCTTTTTGTTATCATTAGTTGTTTTTGTATGTAGTGCAACTCTCATGAGACTAGCCTTTCCTATTTTACCATTTTGTAATGCTTTTGTCGCTGTGCCTAGTTAGAGAGTTGCATAACTGTAAGGTATTGTTTTTGCGCACTGTTGAAAGCTATACGGTGATCTGCATTTCACATCCTTGTTTTTGATGAATTTTTTTCTTCATTGAAAAATATTGGCAACTACTCGTCGAATCAAATTGCTTGATTTTCCTTTCTTATTTGCATAATTCATACTTTTCCGTATAATTATTATTTAAGTAAATATGTATGGCTCTTCGTTGTATCATTACCATTATATTATAAACAATATGTGCAAGCTTTGTTGGAAAACCATTTTGTGTCACAAATTTAAACAGTTCTTGTAATTAGTTTTCACAATCCTTCTATTAAAAGGATTGGTTTTAAAAAATAGTTTTCAAAAACAAGAAACTATCATTTAAATTTTTGAAAACACCTTGATCACAGTACAACACAATTAAATAATACTGTGCTCATCCATGCAGTTACCTTGTACACACAAAAAAAAGTATGTAATATAAAACTTTGTTACAAAAATTCAAGCTATTTGATTTGACGAAGAGTTGTAAATACAGTCAAGAGAAACAAAGAATATGATGTCACACAAATTATGATGGCGATCATTTTGTTAACGTTCTTGAGGAACCTGAACCTTTTCTTCATGAATTGAAGCCTTGTGATAGTCTGGCGAATTGAGTGGTTGGGGTTTGCTTCTTGCTGCCTCAGTACAACAAGGCTATATCGCGGCGAATGTCTGAAGGAAATACACCACATTTGTCTATACTTTAATATATTTACATAGCATTTGTTTCATTTAAAATTAAAAAACCGTTTCCCAACATAATTCTTACAATTGATTTTTAATGCCTATGTGCTAGATTATCTATGGACCACAAATATATATACATTGTGTATTTTGATAAATTAACATACTTTTTAGTTTTATTGTGAGATATATTTTTTTTAAATAATGTAGAACGCAAAATGCCACTCAACTAGCAATGCCTGCCTTTGGTCAATTCATTTTGTCATTTTAACTTCAAGAAAAAGATAAATTTGTATCTCAATACAGACCTTTATTAACCCATAAGGGTCGAGCAATAACAAATAAAATACATACATACAAGAATACAACAAATAAACAATTAACTTGATACACAAGTGTCAGTTTAGATTGACTACGGTAAATATACATCCCTATACCAGCAGGTATTTTTTTCATTCAGAAGTCTAGTTCCTAATTCGTCGTGTTTGCCGCTACGTTTATAAACTAAATATCTGGAAAATCATTGTCACAAACTGAACAAATATCGCAGCTATGACACTAGCAAATTTACATGACATAAAGTTAGTAGATGAACTCCTCTAAACGCCTTGAAACAAGTCGTCAGCAAAAATCAAATATCAATAGAGAAATTATAAGATTACTCGAGTTGTGAATGTGTTCTGAATTAGATAGTGAATGGAAATGCATATACTATGAAATTAATGAATATAGGTTATACTAGTGATATGTTTAGGGAATTGTAATGACATATATTTAAGACATTAGATTACACAGCACAGTAAGATGAAATATTTTGATGACGAATGATCCTAGTGTATGCAAAAAAGAGGCGAAAGATACCAAAGTGATATTCAAATGTACGTATAGTTCAAAATCAATAAAATTAAAAATTTGCGTTTCATCGATATTTTATGCAACCTATAATATGCCCCTCTGTACATCAAACCAAAAAGGATCTGAAACTATTGAAGGCCATTTTTTCCTAAATCTTGGAAATATCAATAAATCAAACATCAGTGAAGTAAAAATATTATTTAGCAGTTGCTCTGCTTACAGAAAATATAAATCCGCTCACAATACTTTAACACCTTATAGTATATTTCAAAACGTAACATCATAAACGTAAATCACCGGGAATGGTCAATCTATTGCCCATATGATGTCAGTGCAAGTAAAAACTGTTTGTGTTCAATATCATATCAGCTAGCATAGCCGCCATGCCCTAGATATATATCAATGTTGAGCGACACGCTACACTGATCTTCATATATAGCTCGCTTTCAAAAATGCGTCGATTGTAAAATTGTTCTGCTGAATGGAATACTCTTTTTTTCTGCTAGAACATTGTGTAAATCTTTGTACAAATATTGTACGCTTGCAATAACATATATAAATATCTTTATTATATGTTTTAATTTTTTTTTAAATATGTATGACGTCATTTTAAATTCTCTTACGTCATAATGGATTCTCTAGCTAGCATGAATATTTTGTGCCATCCTGATCTATGTAGCAACTAGGCTAGCTATACGCTCAGCAGTGAAAAACTGCGAAACCCAACGTAGCAGCTACGATATTGAGCGCGCCTCTGGTTAGCTGTTGAGATAGTGGTTCTATATAGATTCCAAAATATAAGAATACATTATTTACAATCAACGTCAGTCGTTATAGATTGAACTATCTATAACAAAGTGTCATAATACATTCTACGATACTGAGCGTGCAAAAGAAATGTTCAAAAAGTAAAATAACAAAAATACCAAACTCCAAGGAAAATTCAAAATGGAAAGTCCTTTATCAAATGGCAAAATCAAAAGCTTAAACAATTCAAACGAAAACAACTATCATATGCCTGACTTGGTACAGGCATTTTCTGATTGTGGATTAAACCTGGTTTTATACTAGCTAAACCTCTCATTTGTATGACAGTCGCATACTTCTAGACTTGTTTGCATATCTTAATAATATGGCTTTCTAATCTTTTTTCTTCAATCAAACGTACTTTCCTTCCGTACTTCAGTGCAGATGTGTTAGGGATAACCAACAAGAGAACAGATGAATTTGACGCATACTTATTCATATTTACTAATTGATAAGACTCATCACCTCGTTTGTACTTTCATGAGCAACACGACGGATACAAGGACGGAACAAATCAACAATAACAACAAAAGGTAGGTCATGCTAGCAGGGGTCGTCCGGATTGAATGGGCCGATAGAAAATTTGGAATGACACTTGAAAATGAAGATACATTGGATAGGGACAAAACATTAACCTTACGTACTGATCCTTTATTGAGTTGTTGCAAGGATTCTCCACGTGAAGAGTTCGGATGTAAGTTCGCCATTCTAAATATACAGGGCTGCGAATTAATACATCCCGCACAACCAAAATGACGCCCCATTTTGGCAAGGGATTTACTGCTGATCGCCGTCGAAAAACGATCAAGAGATATAACCATATTGCTTTACCCTACTTAACCCATGGGGTTACAAGAGTAGACATTAAGCAGAAGATTTTTACCAAATTAATCATGGACGTTCAATTTATCTCCGAGTTTTTTTCGAGTTGTTGAGCACAGTATTTTCGGAAATGATGTTTTGAAATCATCAAAGGAAAGTAGATTTGATTAAAGAGAGAAAGAAATTAGGAAGCATGTAAACAAGTCCAGAACTATGCACATAGAAGTTGATAATTCAAATTTTCACTGGATTTTCTTTCTTTTCTTTCTTTCTTGTTAACTATTTCAATGTTCGTATCCTTAGAAAGTCAAACAATCCATTTTCATTCTGTATCAGTACGACAGAACCTTTTTCATTTTTTCCCAAAATACTGTGTTGCCATATTCATCATTAGGATACTCAATGTAAGACTGATCTTGTACAAGTTCTAGAATGTGTAGAGGTAGCTGCCCAGGTCGAATTTGTTCCAGGAAAATCATAAATAAAATATTTTCTTTATCTCTAGAATAGATACTTTCCATTCTTGCCATGTTGTATTCGAACATGCACCAGTACGATTCTAGAAAGTGACATGACATAACAAGTATTACTTTACGACTAACATGAATAGATGAAGTAATATTAGCCGCAATATCGTTTCCTGGAATAAAGTCCCTTTTATGGATGCATAGTTTTAGTCCTCCTTCTCTTTCAAGTTTATGTAGAAGATTATTGTGGACAAACTTTGAGTCATTTTCTTCGTAGGAAATGAAGGCATCGTATTCATATTCATGAGTATCGGTATGGATTGGCGTTTTTATATTTCCTTGGTATTTATTTTTGAATATATAGTATAAATAGCGTATTTTCCACCTGTGTCTATATATCAAACCCCAGAAAATTATTGAACTAAAAAATGCCATGAGTATAACAATTCCTATGATCAGAGCAGTATATGATGAACATTCCATTTTAAGTACATCGTATATAAATTGTGCTTCACCCATGTTAACTATCGTTCTATTTTTAAGATAGCAGCTTGTTAAATGTAAATTGACAAGATGTGTATGATATATTGAAACCCATTGAACGAAGTCAAGGTTGTCGCAATCGCATCGAAAATTATTTTCACTGATGTCAACTTTTAGTTTCCCATTCTGATTCAATTTATCTTTCAGCTGATCACGGAAACTATTAGGTAGAGATGACAGTCTGTTGTTTGATATATCACAGTATATCAAGTGATCCATATGACTTATATCAAATGTGATATCATCTAACATGTTGTTACTTATATTCAACTTGCGTAGCAATCTCTGCTGTTTGAAAAACATCCATGGAAGCAGTTGGATTCTATTAAACGATAAGTTAATAACTTCAAGCTTCTCAACAGTTCGTAGTATTGCGCCATAAGTATCTTTTGGCAAGACAAATCCAAGTAGATTATTTTGAACGTAAAGATATTTCAAATTTCGAGCTCTCATGAAAAAGTTATTTGATACGTTTGTACAAAAATTGTTCGACATATCTAAGTACTCAATGTAGTTGAACGACACCACTGGTCCATTCCAAGAGTGAAATATATTAAAGCTAGCGTCAATATATTTCACTTTATTGCTTGAAATAAGAAGAAGAGGAATTTCAAATCGTAAACTACAACCTCTGTAAATAACCTTTGTCATATTTGGAGGGACCGATATATAAGGTGGAATTGTGTTCTGTTCTTGTGCAAACGAATGCAAGTATCGTTTATGCCCGTCGCGTGATCGAATACACTGTTCTTCAACAAAATCACATATTTCTGGTTTTTCGATAGGATATTGTGGTCTAAACATATTTGATGCATTCACAAAGTATATAGAGGTATTGAGAACATCTTTAATATATCCTCCCAAAGAAAATTGATTGTACGCCGCGAAAACGTTTCGCATCGTTTTTGGTAAATACAAAAGCGCTCCAGGTTCAACAAGTTGGATTCTATTGCCTTCAATGAATAAAGTTTCTAGGGTTGTATTTTTGAGATTCTGAAAATGTTTAATTGTTATTTCCGTATTTAGTTCGAAAGCTTGATGAATTTTGTTTATGTTCAATGTTTTAATTGATGTATAAGGCAGATCGTTGGTAATATTTTCTAGGCCCGAAAACTTCAAACATCGGTTTAACGACACATCCAGATAGATTAGATTGCTTAATTTGCGAAATGTCCCTTTATAAATATAATTAATAGAGCATGCCGAAATATTTATTGTTTCAAGTTGTGGTAAAAGTTTGAACACTTCTGCTGTTAGCGTTTTAACATTACAAATACCAGTCAAACCAGATACATCCATATTCTTGAGTTTCGGCATGCTCCAAAAACTTCTAGTCAAATTGTTCGGTTGTCGAAAGTCTAATTTGGCTGTTATAAGCGAAATTCCCGTGAAGTTCAAACCAAATGAGTCATACGGGTTCATTTTAAAGTTAAGTTCAAGCAAGCTCTTCAATATATTCAAAGCATTATCATGTACATCTGATATATGATTGTTATTTAGAAGTAGTCTTTTAAGACTCAATAGTCCCGAAAATGATCGTCGACGTAATTTAGAAATAAGGTTGTGTGATAAGTCTAACAATTCAAGTCGATTGTTGTTATGGAAAACGTCATCCGATACTTTTTTGATCATATTTCCACTGAGGTTTATTTCAGTTAAATTTTTTGGTAATGCAGGAATTTCTGTTATATTTCTGTTAGAACAATCCAATTTTTGTGACAAGTGTGTACATTTACGTAGTGGGTCTACTGGGCATAATTTGCTAGAAACCACAATCGTACAACTTTGAACAAGCCATATAAGTGTTAAGTTTTTCATCAGTCCGGAACTCTCTGTAAAATAATAATAATGGTAATATAAAATGAAATGAGCAATACATATCAGTAGATACTGGAGCATATGACCAAACATATTAATTTTCTCTCATATGGTTTTCAGTTTCTTTTGATTAAAAGCCTATGCGCACGAGTAAGACAACAAAGGAATTTTTGACGACGGCGCTGCTAATAACGTGACGGCATAATGAGTAAGCTAGGAATCACATAAAATGATGGAATAAATAAAAATAATCTATAAACGACTTTCTTAAACACTTGTTACTGATGTTCTTTATATACCTTCACATGCCAAAATTGTGTTGATTTATCATTAAGGCTTGTAGGATTTTAGAATAAGTTATTTTTATTTAAAATCATATGAAACTTTAATTTTAAAACACAAGTTGAATATGTTTTATAACCTCTCGTTAGAACTTCGCCCTCCGCACAACGCAAGTGCGAGGAAAAACCCGTGATGCAAGAATGTACATAAACGTGCACTGGAACGTACATGTGTAAATAGTAATAGCTGGTTCTTTAAAAAAAACCAAATACACCACATCATTTAACAACTGTTACGGAAAAGTTTAATTAACAAATTGGAATGCATGGGACATAAATAAAAAAAAAATATCATGGCTCTTATCAATTCACCGATTTTTCACGTGCTCATCTTGCTCTGTATTGATTGTTTATCAATGCCACGATCTGGTAAACCTCGGCAACAAACCCGAAAGTTGATTAGCTTGCGATCAACAATCACTGAATGAAATATTATTTGTCCATAATACGTTATAAATTTGTAAAATATTTTTTTTTAAACTTAGTTTAGTATATATGCCTGCATTGGTTCAATAATTTCGATAATGTTATAATTACAAGAAACTCGTTTCAGGAATAAATTACCTTAGCTGAATCTGGCAAATATTTTTGGAATATTGGGTCCTCAATGCTCTTCTACTTCGTACTTTATTTGGCCTTTTAAATATTTTTGTTTAAGAGTCATTGATGAGTCCTTTGTAGACGAAATGCGCGTTTGGCGTGAAAAATTTAAATCCTGGTATCTATGATGATATAAATAAGAAGATATCGTATGAGTGCCAATGAGACAACTATCCATCCAAGTCACAATGTGTAAAAAGTAAACAATTGAGTTTATTCATATGACTTTAAGCGATCGATCATTACAACAAAAACATTTTTTGAAATAGATTATTGGCTTATCTTATAATTTGACCCTTTGTTCGTACTTTTATTGTTGGCAAAGTCTTTCATTCATATGTACAACGATTTTTATGAAAATGCAGAAAAGTATCAAGATGGTAACGATGATAAATATTTTTAAAATTTAATCTACGTAAAAAAGTGACAATTGATCTGTATTAAAGAATGCGAAGAATTGATACTGATTATTAAAGAAATGTTGATTACCTATACGGAAATATGTTAACGCAAATTTATATCAGTAACGTATGAAGTAGATTTTTACATGTATTTCTAATTTTTGACTGACCTACACAGTCGGTAATATAGTTCAATATACCTTTTTTTATAATAGTTTAATATTGTTTTGTATTATATGTCTTCACTGGCTACAATTCATCGCGTGGAAGAAAATAGTTTTAGCCTTATCTTATCATTTCTAATAATCTTTTTGATAAATTAGTACAACCAGTTTTAACTTATTACTCAAAGATATCCTCTATGGATAGATATTTAACACGATACAGAGCTAAGATCAGAGCCGATCGAAATAAAAAAAAAGTTTAATCAAATTTTGTTTATTGATAAAACTCCATTGAAAAGGTTCGCATTATTTTTTTGGCTTTGCAACAGAAAAACAGCTTCATACATAGCAGTCCGAGCAGAACTAGGCAGAATCCCCCTTGAACATCTTATTTTTTCACAGTCTCTATCTTACTTAGCAAGACTGAATTCTGAAAAATATAAATCCTTTACTTAAAGAAGTGTTTATATTGTCAAAACTGCTTGACTCGCATGGTACTTATTATTGATATACATATGCCAAGAATATTTCACCAAACCCAGACCTTTTAGATAAAGTTTTTAACTGTAGGGACTTGAATGAAGTAAACTCTTTTAAGCCCTTGATTAAAAATGAATTTACAGAATAATATAAAAATATCTTATAAAATAGAATATATAGCTATGATGAAAATAGTAACCTGTCACTTTATAAAACAAAATTGAACTTAGCTTGTATAGATAATTTTATTCAGCTTCCAATGACTTTTCTTTAAAAAAAACCTTCATTTAGTTCAGATTTAGTGACCATAATTTAGAAATAGAAAAAGCTCGCTATCGTAAAATTCCAAGAACGGATAGACTTTTTAAACTGTACCACTTGCTGGAGGATGAAAAACACTTCCTCATTGAATGTAAAATTAACAAAAATCTACTTGATAATCTATTTGAAAATTGTTTACCAACTCATAATTTTATGTCTCTCACCGAAGAACAAAAATAAAAGAAATGCTAACCCCCTCTATTATTGAACATGTTGAACATATTGCCTCCTTTATAAAACAGTCATAAGAACTGAGGGTAAAAGTCTTATATTTTTTTCCTTGTGTTCAAAGAAATGCTATTTATTTGCTATATTACGTTATATGACAATAAAGATATTTAATTTTCTATTTATCAATACATTATTAAATGAGGTCAAATTTGTATATCAACATAGCTCTTTTTTTTCATTGTTTGTAAAAGTCTACTATAAAATTTGAAACCCATTTATTCTATATCAATAATCTTAAAAGAAAAAATCAGATAGATTATAAATGTGCTTTATATTGTAGCTTCTTTTTGTCTGTTCAATTTCAGGTAAAATGAATCTAAATAACAAACCGTTAGTGCAACGGTTACCTGCAACGGTTGCTTTAAGTGTCAGACCACCAATTCACCCACTCCAATTTAGAACACATGTAAAAGTCGCCCTTTCTTGACCAAAAATAGTGCTTTTGGTGTCATTGTTTACTTAAACTTACCAACAAATTTACAAAAATGAAACTTTTGATGAAATAGAAATATATTTAGACCATTTTGAGCCAAAATTTACTTGTCCGTGAGTTTGCATTAAAAATTGAGGACTAATGCGCTCCATAGTATACTTATTTAAGATTTCCAGAAAACCAGGGGTTATTTTAAGAAGTAGTCGCCTTCCGAACAGTCGTTTTTCACTACAAGACTTTAAACATTGATTAAAAATTGGCACGTAGAAAGGTGATACATGTACAATTTAGGATATAGCTGGTTTTTATAGAGTTAAATTTAAGGTAAATTATTAAGAAAGCTGTGAAAATTAAAAAAAAATGATTGATAAGATAAGGAATTGGTGGTCTGACACTTTAATGGGACGAACCGGGTTTCGTTATTGTATCTTTTACTTACTTTATCATTATACAATATTCATAAAGCGCATTATCAAATAAAAATTACTCTAAGCGCATTATCAAATAAAAATTACTCTAAGCGCTTTATCCAATAAAACATTTTGATAAACATAGTGAATTAACAGACTAAAATATGGTACAAAAGATAAAATAAAAAGGGGCAAAATGACATTTAATAAAATCATATAAATGAAATATCGTTAAAACTGAAATTAAAAATAGAAAGAAAGTATCATTTACCTACCAGGTCTTCTCCAAAGTGATTTTGATAACTGTTTGTGGACATTCATTACTTCGTGTGAAAGCTAACTGTTCTTTAAACGCAGATGACAATAAAGACAGATGTATCTTCCTTATATGACAGACTGGAATGTAAGATATTTCAACCAGGAATATTCGCCTTTTTTAACATACATAAACAATTTGATCTTTTTCTTCGTCACTGATACTGTACTTCCTACAATGCAAAAATTAACACATTTTGTTAATAACTTCAACAACGGAATATATTTAGTTATCGAAAAATTTTAATTGTTCATCATATTATATTTCCTTGTTTTTTCTCATTATCTTAAATAATATCCGGTATAAACAGACTGAGATTGTTCGAACGCAACACTACAACCAAGTGCATTTCAATACATAGTACAAAACTATCACAATCATCTTCAATTTCAAGTGTTTGTCTAGCCTTGAAGTGCTGGATTATTGCACAGGTTATGGCTCATTGTCCGACATATTTCCTACATCATTTGGTTTTTAAAACCGTAAAGTCAGCAAATAAAAGGCCAGACATTGAAAATGTGAAACATTCAAACGAGAAAACTAACGGCCTTATTTATAACAATATAATTTACGGCAGAATATGCTGGGGTTGAACATGTTTAAGGGCGCCTTACCCTCTCTTTACATGGGTCAGTGGTTTAACAGCACAATATAAGAAAAAATAAAACATTAGATGAAAAAGGTTCGACTCATCAGAATAACAAAACGCACAAAAAATAAGAAGCAAAAAATAAAAGCAACGAACAAAAAGACTAAACAAACAAAGTGCCGATCTTAGAGTACTCACAATTACTAAATGCTACTTCTAAGCCAATAACATCTAATAAAAAAAATCATGTTTTAAAACCCGAATATTGTAGGAAATATGTCAGACAAAGAGCCAAAACCTGTGCAATAATCCAGCACTTCAAGGTTAGACAAACACTTGAAATTGAAAAATGATAGTGACAATTTTGTACAATGTATTAAAATGCACTTGGTTGTAGTGTTGCGTTCGAACAATCTCAATCTGTTTATTCCGTTAAACAGAACATTACCGTCCAAAACAGTTACTGACCTTAGTTTCAGTACATTTACAGAATTCCTAAAAATGTAATTCACACACAAAAATGTAACAGTTAAATCATATCAGTATCGAAGACCTGGTAACTAGACATATAGTATCATCAGGAATTGTAAGTACACCAGAAGTAATACCGCCCCGACTGATGCACTATGTACTGTTTGGTAAAGATATTTGCCAAAATATTTGAAAATCAAAAAATCTAATTCAAACATTGAAGAGCTGGTGTAACCGAGAAGGACCGAACAAGAAATCTGAGCTATGGCTCTACAATCTGTTGTTACCTGTATCTTGGCATTGCACAAGGTCATGTTTTTCTCTGACTTTTAATGGCGTCTTTACACTAAATCCATTGGATGTTGATGTGTTACTAGTGTGTTTTGTATATAGTACAAATCTAATGAGACTAGCCCTTCCCAATTACACTTTGTTCTATTTTTGTACTGCTTTGTCACTGTTCCTTGTTAGGGAGTTCTATTATCGCAGACATGTTTAACCTTACAATATTCTGTATGTGTCTTACCTAACAGCTCTGTTTTAGTATAAGTCATTATGGTTTTTGTTTTTTTCATTTCTTCATGGTTGTGTATTAAATAGCATACTGTATGGTATGGTTTTTGTGCACTGTTGAAAGCTATACGGTGACCTGCATTTCACATCCTTGGCATTTGTCTTTGGTGAATAGTAATCTTATAGATGTAAGAGAATGATATTCTCTTTATTCATTGAAAAATATTGGCAACTACTCGTCGAATCAAATTTCTTGATTTTCCCTTCTAAGTTGCATAATCCATACTTTCCTGTGTACTAACTATATAAGTAAAATAATGATGAACAATAAGTGCAACCTTCTTTTTTGGAATACATGTTGTGTCACAAATTTAAACTGTGCATGTAATTAGTTTTCACAATGATATTTACCATATCATTCTATTAAAATGATTGGTTTAAAAAAAATAGTTTTCAAAACCGAGATACTATCATTGAAATTGTTTTTAAATATTAATACTGGTTCTCTGTAACAGTTTAAACTCTTATATAGGGAGTGTGGCACGCATGGTCATGGATTTTCTTCAAACTTCACGCACTTACTAGTCTTGATGAAACAAACAGAAAATGGAAAAATTTTGGTTGCTAAGCACATCGGTTGCCATAGCAACCGATGACCGGTTTTACCTCTTCTGAATATCTATGATTTTAAGCTAAAAAAGGCTATTTTCAACATAATTTTTCATAATAAATAATTAAGAGAATGAATATTGTTTTATGATTTCATTAAATATATTCATTTTATAAATTTAATTTAATAACTGATATTTTCATATTCCATTTCAATCATAATCACATATACCCCCCTTTTTATGTGGTTTGCATTAGGTAAAAAATACCCTTTTGAGGTCATTTTTTAATGCTCACCATAATTGTTTGCGGACACCTGAGTTAAAGTCAACCATGAATTCATAAATATCATAGTCTTATCTTATCAATGATGCGAAAAAGTAATGGGGAAGTATGTCTCAATATTTTGTTACCATGGATACAAAATGCTTAGTTTTCATTTTTTTAGAAATTTTTTTTTTTGAAAATTTTGAAAAAAAAATGTTTTAAAACCTAATTCTGCAGTCAGAAAAAAAAAAATATACAATATGTAGAAATTATTGTAATCATCAAAATTTTAAACATATTCATATATAACAGTATTATAGTTTTAACTCTGTTGCTATGGAAACAATTTCATTTTGATACACAAGTTTAAAACAATTTTGAAAAAAGTTTCAGTTAGTTTCTTAAATGTGCACAAAAGTAGGAAAACTAAAACACTTATTAAGTTTCACTGTATACACACATGTGTATATATAAATGATTTTGCTAGTATAGTATTTCGATAATGGTGTTACCACTTGAAGGAGACAAACACAATTTCTCTATTCTGGATAAAAGTGCTGATTATAAAGAAATTTCAGTCTGTTTTCATGATCATGAAAAATATACAAGAAAAACAATTACTCAATCTAGAAAAAAATAAATAAAATCATTTAAAAAATTACATATTCAATTGTACAATATTTGACATTGAATGTGTTATCATGGAAACAAGTAGTTCATTTGCAAAAATACGGATAAGTACTAATTTTTACAAATGCGTTTTAATGAACTTCGATACATATAACAATGAATGTATACAGTTTTGCTTACATAAGCAGGTTTTCTTGTATTTGAGAAATATTAAAAATATTCCAGGCATCATTAGTGATAGTGTTGCTATAGAAACAACAAATTACATGTATATGCATAAACTTGGAAAACGCTTGAAAATAGACTAAATCTCTCATACAAAAACTCTCTTCTGTAAGTTTTCAATTTAATGCAGTGTCAAAGAATGATGGCTTTTACAAGTCAGTCCTTCAACTAGTATTCAAATGCTGTAGTGAAGATTAAAGATCAAAGTGCCACTTGGTGTTGACAGTTTTGAATTTTATCTACTAGCTCCTAACTATTTATACATAAGATTAAGATGATACAATCAGAACATTGACAGTTCAAGAAAGGCCAAGCTTAAAATTGTTTGTGTGAGGCACAGAAATAAATACTTATCACAAATGAAAATAATCAATATAGGTGTGGTGAAGTTGAAAAAGTAGACAATTTCAAAAAGGTCCGGCAATATGGGTAGGCTGGGATGAAGGTGGACAATTTGAAATATAACTGGAAACCGGGATCTATTGGACAAGGACAGAAATTTCAATAGGTCAACTTGGGTGCCCCTAAAAGAGTTAACACAAAGGTTCTTTAGCAAACAAAGGGCGTAACCAACAAGGGCGGGTACTGTTGGCCGTTGACCCGATGGTCCCTGCTATCCATCCGACACATTTCTTGTTTGCCTATCTGGCCGGGGAGGAATTTTCGAGATTTTCCAAAAAGATTTGTTTCCCTACGAGGACCCGCGGAAAATCTGTCAGATGGTGGCTGCGGGTCTTAAAACGAGCAGTGGGGGGAAATATACCATCTGGACAATTTTCATATAAGGGGACCCACTGAATGCCTCAAGTGATGGCCCGCTACATTTATGCTTCAGTGATTCCATATGAAATCAACCAAATATTTCAAATAAATAAGGAGGGACGGGCCCTCAGGGCCCCTGGATCCGCCTGTGGTAGCACTATCTTAACATTAGTATTAGGCATTGGATTATTGAAATTTGAGAAAATAACGATTATCTTTATGGATTTTTAGCAGCAAATTAAAAAATATTACCATAAATTATGATTACTCTTTACCGTGAAAGGGTAACTTTAAAAGAATTATATACATGTACATATAACTTGATTTTCACTGAACATGCTGAAAGCCCATTACAGAAAGATGTTTCTCAAAATTAGAATATTGTCTTTCTTTTAACAAAAAAAAATTAGATTTTACTTTTAAACAGGACTCAATGTTTAAAACATATATTACATGTGACTTTTTGTCCTGGACTTTTTGTCTGTGACTTTCTGTCCCATATTCTGACCGTTATCATGGCCAGGAAAAATTACTTTATACCTATTTATATGCAAAAGGCTTTGCATCAAATTTATAGAAACACTTAGATTGAACCATTAATTTCATCAAATTAATTTCATCAAATAAGAAAATATAAAATGCTTTTCAAACATATTAGCAAACGATAAATGTGTTGACTTTCAAGAACATTTGGCATACCTCAAGTTAAGTCGTTGAATATGTTTACTTATATTTTATTAAAATATTTTAAACTACCAAGATATCGTACCTCAATTAGTCCGCGAAATGTTTATTTTTTTTATGAAAATATTTAAAACTACCAAGATATCCTACACACGGCTCGGGCATGCCTTAAGATGTACGTGGAAATAATTATTTACTGTTATGAAAATATTAAAAAACAATTATATTTGATTTATCAACTTACATGTATTTTTGGCCTACTTCACACCTTTTGTGTGTTACTCTATATTTGTGATCAAACGTGTCAAATTTTATAACCGGTAATATACAACATAATTTACAACACAGTAAAATACAATATACTACTCAATACCATAAAAAGTTTAAATAACCTGGTGCCCGTCACAGTACCCTAAACTGTTTTTCCCAGTTTTTTATATTATTTGATAAAGACTTTACCATTCAATCTTAATGGGTTTTTTTATATAAATTTTAAGCAAATCCTATAAGATATAAATAAGTATTAGGTAGTACAACGGTCAGGACACAGTCAACGTTGGTCAGGTCAAGTTTTTTTTTCCCCAAAAACATATATTTTCCCCCCTTTTTTAATGATATAAAATAACACAGAAATTTTCATCGGTTAGGTCATTGCTGTTGTTGGTCAGGTCATTGTCAACGTTAGAAGGGTCACTTTTGCGGAATTTTTCGGAATTTCAGTTTAATATTTTTTTCTATATTTTTTCATATAGTTATATATTAAATGATCATATTTTATTATATTTCAAATTTAACATAAATCCTTTAAGAAATAAAAAAGAAATGAGCATTTTCATTTGGTCCTGTCATTGTCAGCGTTGGTCAGGTCACGTTTCATGAAGATTTAAAAGTTTTCTATATTTTTTCTTATATTTATGTATTAAATGGACTAAATTTATAGCAATTCAAATTTGACAAAATTTTTAAGAAATAAAAAGTTATTGGCATTTTCGTTTTGGTCCAGTCATTAGAATAACCCGTCAAAGGGAGATAATTCGTATTGTGAGGAATATTGCACAATGACCATTTTTTAGAAATTAATTTCAGATGTTTCTAGGTAGATTCCCCATAACTTTTTTTGATTTTTGATAAAAACAAGGCTGAAATTAATTGTTTTTGTGTTTCTTTTTAATAGATGTAGCCGCATAATTTCACAACACTACACCAAATATTGTATTTTTCTCAAAATTCCCAACTTTCTCCACTGTTACCATGGTAACCAACCAATATATATATCGGTTGGCATTATTTTTCTGACTAGGCTAATAGGATATACATATCAGCCAATTTTCAGAAAGATCGGTGACTATGTGTGCCGAAAAAGTTTAAGTGGTTACAGAGAATGAGTATTAATCTTAATACCTTGATCACAGTACAACACAATAGATAGTATTGTGCTCAACCATGCAGTTACTTTGTACACAAACAGGTATGTACTATAAGACTTTGTTACGGAAAATTCAAGCTATTTGATTTGACGAGGACTTGTTAATACACTCAAGAGAAACAAAGAATATAATGTCACACAAATCATTTTGTTAACGTTCTTGGGGAACCTGATCCTTTTCATCGTGAATTGAAGCTCTGTGATAATGTATGGCGTATTGATTGATTGGAGTTTGCTTTTCGCTGCCTCAGTACAACAAGTCCATATCGAACGCGATACGCGATAAAAACAAGTCGTCAGCAGAAATCAAATATCAATAGACACATTATAAAATTGCTCGAGTTGTGAATGTGTTCTGAATTGGATAGTGAACGGAAATGCAAACACTATGAAATTAATAAATATAGCTTATACAAGTCTAGTGACATGTTTACGGATTTTGTAATAAAATATGTTTAAAACATTAGATGTCTTAGCACAGTACGATGAAATATTTTGGTGACGAATGATCTTATTGTGTTCAAAAGAGAGACATTGAACATCTGACTAGATTATGTCATACTAAATCAAATAAGGATGTTCCAATTCAGATAATCTCAGCTCAAAGTATTTTACTTGCTGATATACGACTAAGCCGTCCCGTCCCGTCTTCAAAATTTTTATTTTTGATTAAAGTACATTCTTATAATAACTTTCATTTCGTACAGTCGAGACCTAGAGTTTGGATATTCATATATATAAAACGTAATAAAAACTAAAAGGATCTGAAACTATTGAAGGCCATTTTTGCCTTTATCTTGAAAATACCAATAAATCAAGCGTCAGTGTAGTAAAATATTATTTACCAATTTCTCTGCTTACAGAAAAAGATCCGCTCACAATACTTTATTACCTTATAGTATATTTCAAAACGTAACGTCATAAATGTAAATCACCAGGAATGGTCAACCTATTGCCCATATGACGTCAGTGGTCAGAAAAACCTGGTTTGTGTTCAATATCATAGCAGCTAGCATAGCCGCTATGCCCTAGATATCTCTCTTTGTTGAGCGACATGCTACGTAGAACTTGGTAGCTAGCTAGCTTTAAAAAATGCGTAGATTGTAAAATTATTCTGCTGAAGGGAAATACTCTTTTTTCTGCTAGAACATTGTGTAAATCTTTGTACAAATGTTTTCATTTATCTAGATATGTATTACGTACTTTTGGATTCTCTTACGGTATAATGGATTCTCTAACTAGCATGAATATTTTGTGCCATCTTAACCTATGTAGCGAGTAGGCTAACTATACGTTCAGTAGTGAAAAACTGCGTAGACCTACGTAGCAGCTACGATATTGAACGCGCCCCTCGTCAGCTGTTGAGATAGTGGTTCTATATAGATTCCAAAATATAAGAATAAATCATTTACAATCATCGTCAGTCATGATCTAAATTGAACTATCTATAACAAAGTGTCATAATACATTCTGCGATACTGAGCGTGCAAACGAAATGTTCAAAAAGTAAAATAACAAAAATACCAAACTCCAAGCAAATTCAAAACGGAAAGTCCTTTATCAAATGGCAAAATCAAAAGCTCAAACACATCAAACGAACGGAAAACAACTATCATTTTCCTGGCTTGGTACATGCATTTCCTGATGTAGAAAATGGTGGATTAAACCTGGTTTTATTGCTGACTAAATATCTCACTTGTACGACAGCTGCATATTTCTAGACTTGTTTACATATCTTAATATGATGGCTTCCTATTTTTTCATCACTCTTAAATCAAACGTACTTTCCTTCCGTACTTCAGTGCAGATCTGTTAGAGATAACCAACAACAAGAGAACAGATGAATTTGACATATACTTATTCATATTTACTAATTGATAAGACTCATCACTTCGTTTGTACTTTCATGATCAACACGACGGGTGCCAGGACGGAAACAAATTAACAATAACAACAAAAGGTAGGTCATGCTAGCAGGGGTCGTCCGGATTGAATGGGCCGATAGAAAATTTGGAATGACACTTGAAAATGAAGATACATTGGATAGGGACAAAACATAAACCTTACGTACTGATCCTTTATTGAGTTGTTGCAAAGGTTCTCAACGTGGAGAGTTCGGATGTAAGTTCGTCATTCTAAACAGACAAGGCTGCGAATTAATACATCCCGCACAGCCAAAATGACGCCCCATTTTGGCAAGGGATTTACTGCTGATCGCCGTCGAAAAAAGATGAAGAGATATAACCATATTGCTTTACCCTACTCATCCCATGGGGTTACAAGAGTAGACATTAAGCAGAAGATTATTACCAAATTAATCATAGACGTGCAATTTATCTCCGAGTTTTTTCGAGTTGTTGAGCACAGTATTTTCGGAAATGATGTTTTGAAATCATCAAAGGAAAGTAGATTTGATTAAAGAGAGAAAGAAATTAGGAAGCCCTCATATTAAGATATGTAAACAAGTCCAGAACTATGCATATAGAAGTTGATAATTCAAATTTTCACTAGATTTTCTTTCTTTTCTTTCTTTCTTGTTAACTTTTTCAATGTTCGTATCCTTAGAAAGTCAAACAATCCATTTTCATTCTGTATCAGTACGACAGAACCTTTTTCATTTTTTCCCAAAATACTGTGTTGCCATATTCATCATTAGGATACTCAATGTAAGACTGATCTTGTACAAGTTCTAGAATGTGTAGAGGTAGCTGCCCAGGTCGAATTTGTTCCAGGAAAATCATAAATAAAATATTTTCTTTATCTCTAGAATAGATACTTTCCATTCTTGCCATGTTATATTCGAACATGCACCAGTAGGATTCTAGAAAGTGATATGACATAACAATTATTACTTTATGACTAACATGAATAGATGAAGTAATATTAGCCGCAATATCGTTTCCTGGAATAAAGTCCCTTTTATGGATGCATAGTTTTAGTCCTCCTTCTCTTTCAAGTTTATGTAGAAGATTATTGTGGACAAAATTTGAGTCATTTTCTTCGTAGGAAATAAATGCATCGTATTCATATTCACGAGTATCGATATGGATTGGCGTTTTTATTGTTCCTTGATATTTACTTTTGAATATATAGTATAAATAGCGTATTTTCCACCTGTGTCTATATATCAAACCACAGAAAATTATTGAACTAAAGAATGCCATGAGTATAACAATTCCTATGATCAGAGCAGTATATGATGAGCATTCCTTTTTAAGTACATCGTATATAAATTGTGCTTCCCCCATGTTAACTATCGTTCTATTTTTAAGATAGCAGCTTGTTAAATGTAAATTGACAAGATGTGTATGATATATTGAAACCCATTGAACGAAGTCAAGGTTGTCGCAAGCGCATCGAAAATTATTTTCACTGATGTCAACTTTTAGTTTCCCATTCTGATTGAATTTTTCAGCTGATCACGGAAACTCTTAGGTAGAGATGACAGTATGTTGTTTGATATATCACAGTATATCAAGTGATCCATATGACTTATATCAAATGTGATATTATCTAACATGTTGTTACTTATATTCAACTTGCGTAGCAATCTCTGCTGTTTGAAAAACATCCATGGAAGCAGTTGGATTCTATTAAACGCTAAGTTAATAGCCTCAAGCTTCTCAACAGTCCGTAGTATTCTGCCATCAGTATCTTTTGGCAATACAAATCCAAGTAGATTATTTTGAACGTAAAGATATTTCAAATTTCGAGCTCTCAGAAAAAAATTATTTGATATGTTTGTACAAAAATTGTTCGACATATCTAAGTACTCAAGGTTGTTAAACGACACCACTGTTCCATTCCAAGAGTGAAATATATTAAAGCTAGCATCAATATATTTCACTTTATTGCTTGAAATAAGAACAAGGGGAATTTTATATCGTAAATTACAACCTTTGTAAATGAACTTTGTCATATTCGGAGGGACCGATATATAAGGTGGAATAGTGTTTTGTTCTTTCACAGGCGAATGCAGGTATCGTTCGTAAAATCGTTTATGACCGTCGCCTGATCGAATACACCTTTCTGCAACAAAATCACATATTTCTGGTTTTATGGTAGGATTATGTGGTGTAAACAAATTTGATAAATTTACAAAGTGTATCGGGGTCTTGACGACATCTTTAATGTAGCCTCCGAAAGAAAATTGATTGTCTGCAGCGAAAACGTTCTGCATAGTTTTTGGTAAATACAAAAGCGCTCCAGGTTCAATTAGTTGGATTCTATTTCCTTCAATGTATAAAGTTTCTAGGGTTGTATTTTTGAGATTCTGAAAATGTTTAATTGTTATTTCCGTATTTAGTTCGAAATCTTGGTGAACTTTGTTTATGTTCAATATCTTAATTGATGTATAAGGCAAATCGTTGGTAATATTTTCTACGCCCGAAAACTTCAAACATCGATTTAACGACACATCCAGATAGATTAAATTGCTTAATGTGCGAAATGTCCCTATATAAATATAATTAATAGAGCACGCTGAAACATTTATTGTTTCAAGTTTTGGTAAAAGTTTGAACACGTCCGCAGATAACGTTTTGACATTACAAATACCAGTTAAACCAGATACATCCATATTCCTGAGTTTCGGCATGCTCCAAAAATTTCTAGTCATATTGTATGGTTGGCGAAAGTCTAATTTGGCTGTTATAAGCGAAATTCCCGTGAAGTTCAAACCTAATGAGTCATAAGGGTTCATTTTAAAGTTAAGTTCAAGCAAGCTCATTAATTCAGTCAAAGCATAACCATGTACATCTGATATATCATTGTTATTTAGAAGAAGTCTTTTAACACTCACTAGTCCAGAAAATGATCTTCGATGTAAATTAGAAATAAGGTTGTGTGATAAGTCTAACAATTCAAGTAGACCGTTGTTAAAGAAAACGTCATCCGGTACTTTTTTTATCGTATTTCCACTGAAGTTTATTTCAGTTAAATTTTTTGGTAATGCAGGTATTTCTGTTATATTCCTATTAGAACAATCCAATTCTTGCTTCAAGTGTGTACATTTACATAGTGGGTCAACTAGGCATAATTTGCCAGAAACCACAATCGCACAACTTTGAACAAGCCATATTACTGTTAGGTTTTTCATCAGTCCGGAACTCTCTGTAAAATAATAATAATTGTTGTATAGAATGGAACGAGCAGTACATATCAGTAGATACTGGGGCCTATGAGCAAACATATGGAAAACATAATTTTCTCTTGTATGGATTTCAGTCTTTCTTGATAAAAAGCAAACGCAGGAGTAAGAAAGGAAAGGCATTTTTGTTGACGGCGCTGCTAACTACATGATGGCATAATGAGTAAGCTACATGTAACAATTACACCGCTTGGAATAATTGATTATTGTGCTAGACAATTTATCATTTATTAGCGTTCCTGATGAAAGTAAATCCATAAAAGCGCATGAAATTTATAAAGTGTTGTTCTTATTTTGTATGTTGTTAAAATCATTTATATCCACAAAGGCGCCTTACTGCTTTGAATTAAGTCTTACCAGATGGTATTCTTACAGAAAAATAGTCATCCAGTACGCGTATGTCTGTGATGTATGTTTACACAGTTTTAGCTGGTGGATCCTTATTATTGCAACATTTAACAATTATGTCTATATTTGGGTTGCACACCCAACGTTGTCAATATAACGGAACTTTAAACAACTGTCGTACACGTGGGAAGTTAAGCTAGATATAACATCAGGTTTTAACCCACCATTTTCTTTTTAAAAAATGCCTGTACCAAGCCACGAATATGACAGTTCTTTTCCATTCGTTCCGTTGGTTGTTATAATCGAGCGTTTGATTTTATAGACTCCCCCCCCCTCTTATTTGAATTTACCTTGGTGGTTTTCTTGTTAATATTTTTTATTGATATAAAAGATACCCTCATTGGAGCGATTGCCAAAGATTGTAGCATTTTAATTTGGTGTTGGTTGCTTAGCTTAACTGCTAGTCTTGTTTCTTAGAAAATAAAATCCAATACAGACAAAGAATATAATGATAATATGGTTTCAAGACGAATACAAAACATGTAAAGCTAAGAGGATCTTATGTGCATTTTGGCTATTAATTTTGTCCCCTTTGGTCATATGGTTCCTCTATCATTGAACTAATCCGCGGCTTCCAATATTTTGGGCTTGAGTTTTCCTAAAGAAAGTAAATTGTTTATTGTTTAAACTCATCAAAGATACCTATCTAGTAAACCAGACGTATGTTCTTTGTTGAGATTGGTTCAACTGATTGTCGGCATTCCTTTGTTAAACAAATGGACTAATCTTTTTGCCGAAGTTTTTCTATTCTATAAAACAAGGGATTCTCAACATAGCATTTTCCTTACTTTACCCGTACGTTCCGTTAAATATACTAGTCAACAAAAGTAACGATACACAAGTTTGAACTCCAATTTATCATAAAATAAAATAAATAGGAAAACTGTTAAATTATCCAATGAAAAACATTCATTTGCAAAGCCAATGCATATGATTACAAGAACTTGACCAAATTGGAAAGTGAGAAAATACCGTGTTATTGAATACAGGGGTCGAATTTATTTTGCGGAAAATGATGACAAAATTCGGCACTTAATTTCAAAGATGAGAATTAAGTATTCAAATATCTGCAAAGGCATTCAAAATTTTAAGCAGACCATGTTTAAGTTTAAAGTTTTAAGTTCTAATATCGATTTTTGAATTTTTGGGTGAAAATACGATTTTTGAAATAACAAAAATTGCAAAAAAAAAATACATCGCGTATTTGCCTTAAATCAATGGTTTTGATAAAAAAAAATAACACTCTGTAAATATTAGACCAATTGGGCAATTATTTACCTTGGTACAGTGTATCCAATTTCTTTTTATATGGAAAATACATTGCCTTGTATCGTTTCTTTTGTTGACTAGTATAGATGCTGCCCTTTATATTAATATTTTAGTTAATTGACAATTCTTATGAACCTATCATATTAAGGTTGAAATAAAGTATACCAATGGTACAATTGAGTCGAAGTATATATCAATTAAGGTGTTAGCCCTGTATAACCACGGATTATCCGATGGAGAACGTCTGTTGTAAAGTTATCACATGTTTAGACTTATTTAATAAAATCAAAATTTTGATGTGACGGCATAGAAAGTAAGGTTATCATCCTTTACGACAAACAAAACATAGTTGATCGGAAAGGTACATCATCTACCTACCACTATACAGCATGTACTGTGTTACAACCCTAGATATATGCATCGAGCAAATGTATTATTACTCGACTAACGAAAGCTATTGTGTATAGCCTAGTTGGTCGATTGTTTATGCCCCATGTATCAAATGTGTTTCAATATTCATTTTTTTTTTTTATTTTCACAGTTAAAAAAAAAGCAGAAGTAGTATCCATGTACGGCACACCACTTAAACAGATATAATCGACACAACGACAAGGATTTGTTTCTCGTACATAATTACCTAGTTAGGTTAAAAACATCTAAATGTAAAAACATATATAATAAGTTTAAGAAAAGCGCCGACCGATACCACATCGTGTTCAATTCAACAAAATGACTGAAAAATGATGACACAATCTTACGATTCATAAAAAATAACAATAGGTATAAATCATGTTTGTATACTCTTACAGACTGTGACCATTATCTAATTTTTTAAAGAACTGTCAAGGAAAGAAAGATACATTTAAATTATCATACCGAGTCGGCCACGGACAGACGTGGATATACAATATGAATATCTCTGATTTCATTCTTTAATACTTTAATTTAAAGTTATCCGTGTACACGGTAAAGTAAGAACTTTTATATTTTAAACATTTCTATATGTTTTAAGTGACGATATGCTTACTAAAGGCCCATGTTACAATATCATACCTAGTAGATATAATTACGTTACCATGTCGCCGCTACTACGTATCAAGGCCCATGCACGTTACAATAACATACCTAGTAGATATGATTACGTTAAGTATACGTTACCATGTCGCCGCTGCTATGTATCAAGGCACATGTAACAATAACATAACTAGTAGATATGATTACGTTACCATGTCGCCGCTACTACGTATCAAGGCCTATGTTACAATAACATACCTAGTTGATATGATTACGTTACAATATCGCCGCTGCTACGTATCAAGGCCCATGTTAAAATAACATACCTAGTAGATATGATTACGTTACCATGTTGCCGCTGCTACGTATCAGGTATGCATAAAACATCTTAACTTAAGGGGGTAGACCAGGGGTATGGGAGACAACTCTTACAAATGTATTGGAAGTCATTTGTGCGTTTTAACCTGGCAGTAATTGAAACAGTGATCAAGCATTTATATTGTTTACATTTGGCTGTGAGAATGATGCAGGAAGATCTAGGCCATTTGGACAAGTTGGACACCACAAAGCATTGAATAAAGGAACTACATTTTTTAAAGCTTCAATACCCAAAAGCTGAAAAGGTAAAAAAATTACCATTCATACATAAAATCCTTAAAAAAAACACCTACATATGTACTGAGGAGTTTTTGGAACGACTATAGTGTCTTGTGACATCATTAAGATTAAAACTTGGAAGGTTTGGGAAAAATTTAATTGGGAAAAAAATGGATTGAAGTTTTAGTGGTAAATTACCACTAACCGTAATCTATTGGTAAATAGGCTATGCTAAACTGTATGTCTTTGATTTTTAAATATAAACGGCACTATTCTAGAAATATAATCTGTACATCTATCCTAGTACAAGGTCATGTTTACAGACTGTCAAAACATTGAATCTTAATAACGTCTGCTTACTGATGACAGGGGGATTTTGTAGTATGGGGAGAGAAACCAATAGATAATGTTGAGATGTCAATTCGTCCAAAGGGTACTCGTCCCATACTGAATATTACTGTTTTTCCTTATGAACTTGGCTACAATTATTATTGGGACAATACACTTAATAGATATGGGAAGATGTGGTATGAGTGCCAATGAGACAACTCTCCATCCAAGTTACAATTTATAAAAGTAAACCATTATAGGTCAAGGTACGGCCTTCAACACGGAGCATTGGCTCACACCGAACAGCAAGCTATAAAGGACCCCAAAAAATTACTAGTGTAAAACCATTCAAACGGAAAAACCAACGGTCTAATCTATATAAAAACGAGAAACGAGAAACACGTATGAACTACATAAACAGACGACAACTACTGTAATCAGATTCCTGACTTCGGACAGGTGCAAATATTTGCAGCGGGATTAAACGTTTTAATGGTACCAAACCTTCTCCCTTTTCTGAAACAATAGTATAACATTGCAACATAGAAAAACACACTAAAATATCAATTGAAGGCTTAACTCAATCAAAAAACGTAAATTAACACTTAAGCACATAAAAAGAATGCAAAGAAAGACTGTAGAAGGTTTTGTTGGGGGAAATGAATTTTGTCAAAAATTTTCCTTTTTTCTTGTGCCAGCAAGCCAACTTGTTTAAAGATTTTGAAAATTTCAAATGGTCAAATTCAATGAATGTTTGTGATTTTCAAGGTTTATAACCAATAATTGTTTAAAAGCCATTTTTTGAAGGAATTAAAGGACAAATTTTTTTCTGGCAAAGTTTAAAAATTAATGAGTTATCTGAGCTGGCCAGAATTTTCGCCTTATCAATAATTTTAAAATATTAATTTACATCCAGGCTACAAATATTACCATGATATTTCAGATTTACCTTAAAATATGTTCATACAACGTATTTAAAAAGAGAGGCGAAAGATACCAGAGGGACATTCAAACTCATAAGTCGAAAATAAACTGACAACGCCATGGTTAAAAAAGACCGACAGACAAACAGTAGTACACAAAACACAACATAGAAAACTAAAGACTGAGCAACACGAATCCCACCAAAACCTTGGGGTGATCTCAGGTGCTCCGGATGGGTAAGCAGATCCTGCTCCACATGTGGCACCCGTCGTGTTGCTCATGTTAGTACAAACCCGGTAATAAGTCAAATTTGGTAGGTCATATTCGGGAAAAGGGGGAACGGGATTGTAGTTACGACATTAGGAACATATCCGCTATCATCTATGAAACGGATATTCCATAACGGTCAACCAATTCGTGA